ATGCAGAGAACACTTTGGATTGCTTGCTGTCTATCCATTTGAAAACCATCTATTGACTCATGCTGCTGCAATAAAATAGTTGTGGTCATATCTATCTGTAATCAATGTATTGCTGCATTGCCCTGTGTTTGTGTGCCTGGACTCATGCCAGAGAGGGTGGGTTTTTTGGGCTGTGCATCAGGTCAGAAACGCTGCCGTTCTTTCTAACTACAATCTGGAAGTCCATCAGGCTCTCTTAAACTTCTGAGGGAGATAATTCGGCTCCAGACCACTTTGGCTCCGCACGCATCTTGCAAGCAAAGACCGTGCAAGCTGCAGTCTTCTCTTTTTAAGGTGGATGCAAAAGAAAGGGTTTGCTTTGGTATCCTTGGCCAAAAACTCCCGGCCTTTGCCTCCATCCTCTGCTGCTGCTGTGCCGTGTCTTGTCTTCCAGTTACCTGCCTTTCTCCACCTCAACCATGACTGCTTTCTAATTGTGAATCAGCTCTCTATAAATGCATGGAGTTGACAAAGTGTTTTGGATACTTTGGACTGCTGAAGGTGCCCTATGCATGTTGGGCAGTTGCATACAATATAATTAAAATAGTGCACAGGGTGATCAACACCAAGCTAATTGCTTTAGCTAGCCACTGCATAGTTGCATTTGGCAACATTTGGCCACTGTGTCGTTGTCTGGCTTTTTCCCTGATGGAGCAAGAACACTGCCACTACCAAGGTGACTGTATCTATTTGTTCAACTCTCCTATGAAATATGAACTTTTGTTTCTACCCAGGAAAACTTTTACAATCTTTTCTCCGATGCCTGAAGAAGGATGTTTGTGCCCAAAAGCTTGCAACTAAAGATTTTTTTTGCAAAAATCTAGTTGGTCTAATAAAAGACCTGTACCATGAGTCCTGATTCCTTAGGTAAAGCTGGCACTTTTTGAGCAGTGGCAGTACTGCATATGTATAGCATGGCACATGTATGCAGTGCTTAGCAGATGGAGACTAAAGAGAGATTTTTAAAGCAGAATGCTTAAACTTTGAATTGTCAGTAATGGCTCCTTTTCCTCTCCCTGCTTTTCCCAGTTTTCATTTTGTATCCTGCCTGAACCACGTGAGTTTGTCTGACCTGCTGCTACATAAATTGTTGCTCACTAGTTTCCAACTCAAATGGACTTTTAGTGGTCTAGGAATCTTGTCAAATACCTATTAAATTCACTGCTGTGTTTTACTGGCTTCCTGTTTGAATGTCTCAATCCATACCCGCCCCACCTTGCTTGGGGAAGCAAAACCACATGCTCCTTGGATGATTTCCAAGGCTTGACAATAGGCATGTTTTCAGACTTGATGTGTTCATTCTAGTATTTCCTCTCCCCAGCTCTTTCATTAATGAGTCTAAATTTTGAGGCATGATTCATTAAGCTCTGGGCTTGACAGTTCATTCTGACGAGGGCAGAGATGATTCGAGTTGGAGAAGGGCTCGTGTTTTCTTCTCCTCCATGCAACGGGAATTTTGCAGCCGGATGTGTGAATGGATTGGTACTTTGATGGTTGACACTCAGTTGGTCTTGATGGGGCAGATAGCTGATGACAAAAGGGCCCACGGGCCTTACCCTTCTCCTTGGAGCTGAAACTTCGGTCCCAGCTCAGATGAACAACAGCCAGCAGGTGTGATGATCTGAGGGCTGTGGCTGAAAGCCTTTTTGAGATGAACATGGGAATATTAATCCAGCTTCCAGTACGGCACGGATCCAAATTGTAAAACCCTCCAGAAAAAAGCTATGCATTCTGGATGGCCTTAGTGACATCCAGAAGTGGGACTGGCAGTAGATGGTTTAACTGGTTTCAGGTGTATTCAAGATGAATCCTCTTAGGTCATGACAAGGAGTTTATACTTCCCAAGGTGCATCTATTGTGTGCCCATACAGAAGGACTGCCTTCTCCATGGCTGCCTCTCTTGGTGTCTTTCCCTAGCAGGTGTCTGATTTTTAGTTTTTGTTGTTCTTTTAATTAATGACATGGGCTAAGGGGATCAAATCTAGGGCACAGATTCCACCTCCCATCACCCGCAGTACAGCCAACTACGGCATGCCAGATCTTGCAATGAGAAGATAGATGAGCACCTTCTCAGTGGGTTCACTGTATATATATGTAGTTAGAGCATCGTTGTCCAGCAGGCCAGGAGCCTTATATCCACAGCTCTTCTAGTGCAATGTGGTATGGTCACAGCCTGGCTCATAGTGAAGTCCTGGCTCTAACTAACCACCCTCCTTGCATATTCAAGTCCAGGCAACAGGACTTCCAAAGCCATGTCAGAGTCTGTCCTATTAGGGAGGGGAAGGACATTGAGATAAAAACTCAGGGGAGCTCCCAGACAAGCAGTGCATGGGAGATATACCCATTCACATGTCCATGCCATTATATTAGCTCCTTTTTTGAACTGGTGTTCTACCTCTCCCCATGAGTGCGTGTGTGCGCGCGCACACCTGTGCACAATGTAAAAAGAGAATGAAGTGTATGACACAAACCTCATTTTCTCCATCTGGGGATAACAAATCCTATTTACTGTGGTTCTGAGAAAATTCATGTTAGCAAAGCTGATGGATGGCAATCTTACTGGTAGTCATCCTGTTAAAGGAAGTCAGACTGAACTGATAGCCTTACTCTCTTTTCTTTGCTTCTTGCATTGATATTAATGCCCAAGCCAGGTGCCTGAACAATGCTGCTGACAAGCATGGTAACATTATTACACCAACCACATGCTCCTTTTGCACAGTTATAAATAGCAGGGGGAAGCAGGGAGCTGGAACAGCAATGGATAATCAAATGCCAGCTGCTTACTACAAAGGTAGCATGAAGCATTGGCTTAGTATAGATCCTGCCAGAACAGGAAGGTTTCTCCATGACAGCGATGCATACATGTACCTGACACTTAAAACTTGGAAGACATTTCAGGCCCTAGTCATTTCATGGTCAAGCTATCAGCCTCATGGTATCTCTTTGAATCCAGCCTTTTCACCCCTAAAGGAATGCAGGTGGGTGAGCAGGGTGGTTGTCGGTGGGGGACAGTAGCAGGGGTTTCCCATGAATGTGTCAACTTGTCAGGCAGGTGAAGCCACAAATATTCTCCTTGATCACCGGGTGGAAACTGCGAACTGTTTGCATATTTCTGACCTCCATGATCTTCTCGCTGCTGCAGTTTCCCAGGCTAACAAGGAGGGCGAAGCGGCACAGCTGGCTGTGTGCTGTCCCTGCTCTGCAAGGTTGTTTTCTCTCTGCCTTCAATGCATCAAGGCCATCTTTGGCTCAGTGCAGTTAAGCAAAACAAATGGGCTTGTACAAGTCTAGTAGAAATGCGGGTCAAGTCACTCACTCCAGCCATAACCTTTGGGCTTTTTATAGATCTCATCTGACTGTTTGCCTGGCGGGTGGCCAAGCCTAGCCCATATTGGTGCTTTTTAGAAAGTTTCAGGAGATCTCCTTGTGTCTCGTCCAGTAAAACTTCCCTTTGATTACAAGTGTAGCAGCAGCACCTCTTGCTTTGGGATTGGCATGTGTGGTCTGCGTGTGTCTGCAGAAGCATAAAGTGCATGGGCATGCACACATGCATGTAAGATATATAGATGGATGTGTTTGTGCATGCCTGCATGCATATGTTTGTGCTTGTGTGTACCACGATAGATATTTCCATATAGATACTACTGCTCAGTTAAGCAACCTTTGCTTAGGGGAGACCTATAGGCACGAGTGAACTGTTTGGGCACAACTGGTGGCAAGGAAGAAAGCATAGTGCATGCAAAGTGTTTCCCTGGTTGCGCACCTGGGCATAGCACAGAAGGGGCATAGACATGCCGCTCATATTTATATCATGGTGGCACGCTGCAACTCCAGTGATAGCCAAGACCACACTGTGGTAGGCACTGAAGGTATCAACACTTGGGTCCAAAATTTGTTACCATTCATTTAGTTATGGAAATGATCAATATGTGCAAGTGGCCTTTTTGGCCTGATGCAGTTTGACTTCCATTATCCGTGTGATGTGGATGTATGAGCTGCAGCAGCTGCATGGTTAGGACAGCTGCCCAGGAAGCAGGAGATTTGGGTTTGTGGAAAACCTTCATGCAGATGGCATTTGAACTTGTGTCTCTCTGACTTTCCAGCACAGGGATCTGACCACTAGGCAGCATGTTAGGCCTTATCCAGGCTCTTCTCCATTGTCCTTTGAAGCTGGACTGTTGGGCAGCCAAGACAAGGAGATATGTGGGACCAGGAATAAGAGAACAGATGGTGTGTGGCCCACTGAAACAGCTGATGACTTGGAAAAGGACAGGTTTCTAGCTTAGACCTTTGCTCCCAGTGGTGCAAAGAGTACCCACTGCTGTCCAAGTAATGCCTGGTAAATGCAAAGTGCAGTGGCTCAGCCTCAAAAGGAAAGCACTAGATATTATAATGTTGAACTTGTAGCACTAGCATTCTCTGGGACAGATGCTCACTCGCGTCCATGTGACTTTGCCCAGCTGCCCTACCCATTGAACCTCACTACTCTGTCCCTCTGTGGTAGTCTTTGTGTTGAAGCAGGAGGAGCTTGTGTTTGACTATTAAATAACATAGCAACCCAAGCCTGCCGCAGTCTGCAGCCTGCAAGATAGGGTTTAGTACCTGTAGTTCAGAGCCCTGTCTTCCTATACAGAGGATGACTGCTCTGACCTCCACAGTCACACTCCATGTCCTTACGTGACACAAACTACCCTTCCACACCCCAGATCCCAATCCCAACTGATCTTCTTTGGAGGCTGTGCTGGAACTTGCCATCTCCGAAGCGCGTGTCCCTCGGCGGTCAGTGTGTTTTTGGATGGAGGGGTCTGGTTCAGATCCGTTCTGCTGCAGAGGTTCATCTGAGAGATGCCCAGACAGTGGCAAGGGCTGGGAGTGCCAGCCTTCTGTACCCGAGGTTGGGATTCTTGCCCGTGGCCAAAGAGACGCAATGACGTCCCTTTTGTGTTCTTGTTTCTCTTTAGATCCTAGAATCTCCGGACCCTCGAATCACAGATCCACGGCACACCTGGATCTCATTCGTACACCGCCCGGATGATGGCAACACCTCCAAAAGGAGATGCAAAGGGAAAGACAAGAAATTAGTAGGTTACCACTAGACTGTGATGCCAGCTACTGAATATCTATGTCCCGGGCCACAATTTTCTCTCCTGTTGGTATTGTAGAAGGTGCTTTGTGGGTGACTTGGTGCCTTCCCACCCCAGGGAGGGCTGCATTTTTCACTGTGCTGTGTGCATATATAGTTTGTAAAGCATCTGAGGAAACTTTGTGAGAAAATGTGCTATATAAATGGAGAATGAGGTACGTGTGCATGTATGAAGAGGTGCGTGCTTGTGCATAAAGGCTGTCTAATAAAGTGGGTGTTTTTAGATTCTACAACTGTTGACAAGTATTGAAAAAAGCAGCCATTTCTTCTATTGAGTTTTTCTCCTTAACTGATAATACTAAAGTACAAAGGTGTTTTTGGTTAAACCAAGTTCTAAGCTTCTTAAAGGCTAATAATCAGTTTAGGGCCCAAGTCACACATGGTGACCATTTCTAGGAGTACACAGTAGGTATTTCACTTTCCTGTCCTGCCTCTGTGTTCCCCCATTGATGTTCTCCTGAGTTGCGCCTAACCCACTTTGTTCAAGATGGCCATCAGTGCAGATGATGGGGTCTGATTCTCATTGTTTTCTTTTGGCTCCTTCCCCAGCGTGGCCTTGTTGGACCCCCAGGACCACCAGGACCCCAGGGACCTCCAGGTGCACCGGGAGCTGAAATCACCCGGGAAGTCCTGATGCAGGAGTTTAAGGAGATATTAAAAGGTAAAAACTCTTGGAGCTACACACCTCTCCGCATCCTTCTCAGATATGGCACCTACGGCCAAGTTTCATGGCAGGAGCACCTTCATTACAGTGCAGCAAAGTGCTCATGTTGTATGTCCTTAAATCCCATTGACTTGAGTTCACAAAGCCACTGGGGCTCTGGGTTTGTGGAGATCAGCTTGCAGGCCAGAAATTTCCAGGCTCTGGGTCTAAGTGCGTTAATCTTCTCCTTCCCTCCCACCCATGATATTAGAGAGAAATGTGGCTTCAGGTGCAGCTGAGCTTAGCAAAATGGCATTAACAGGATGGCCAGCGACAACATCCCATGTTGGACTTGATGGGGGTTGGACTCGATGATCTGTTGAGGTCCCTTCCGACCCTAGCATCTATGCGTCTCTGAACCTCATGAATCTGGCCTTGCAAAATCAAGAGACTGATTGATTTAACAGTCAAGACAAGGGTAGAAAGAGTCAGTGGGGGATGTTCGCTTATCTTCTGGATGTTGAGCCTGTGGGGTGCACCTGGGAACCATGTTAAAGTTTTTTTTTTCCTCTGTCCTAGGAGGAATTATTGAAAAAAAGGAAGCTGAGATTCATAGGAAGTGGACTGTCAGGGGTGGGGGAGTAGGGAACCCTACTGTGAAACGGGCTAAAATCAGGATTGTTGGCTATAGTGAGTTAAGCGAAGGACGACGTTAGACAGCATGTGGATAGCAGCTTTCCAAAATGTGGGATCTGTTAAACTGAAACGCTCTTTTTCCAGAGGAGTGGTGGGAGGGGTAGGGTGGAGTAGAAAATGGGCTTGGTCTACTCAGACTGGCTTGATTAGGGATGCCGTGTGGTCTCTTATTATTCATTATTTGTCTTACAGTAGTGCCTAGGAGAGTCAGTCATGGGACTGGAAGCCTACTGTCTTAGACACTGAGCAGACATGAACAAACTGGTGGTTGTTGCCCCAAAAAGCTTGCAATTGAAGTATAAGATGAGAGGCAACCACAGGACACAAAGAGACAGAGAGGGAAGCAGACAGAAACAATGACCTCTTGTGAGACTGTGGTCTGAGCACACCCGTTCTCCGTCCATTGTGAATTTTTTGGGTATGTGTCATGGCCAAGGAGCATTTTAAGGAAGGAGTTGATAGATAACACTGCGGAGGCATTGCATTTGTATTTGACTACTATGGGCTGCTGGTGTACAAATTACTCCCATCTAGTTGATTTAGTTCAAGTCCAAGATGGTGGCCTATACGATTTCTTTTCTTTTCAGAAGCCATCGAACGGCGGGCATCTCTGGCAGTCTCGGCCCACCCCAGCCAATTGCCCCCACTGCTGCTGTCCCTGGAGGAGATCTCGCCGCACAAACGGGTGGAGGAAGCGTTTCACTGCAAGCTGAAAGGGCAGGTCGTCGTGGACAAGAAGACCCTGGTGGAGCTTCAGAACTTCCAGTCGGTGAGCGGGTGTCTCGCTCTGGGCTTGCGCTGGCCTGGAGAACAGCAGTTGTCTTTGGCTCTTTTATAGGATGGCTTTTGCTTGCAGAGCTCCCGTGTAGATCAGGATTCCTCCTGAAAGGGTCCTAGGAGCCCATGTCTCATATGGAGTTTGGCTGCTGGGAATATGGCACTTGTTGTTGGGGAAAGTGACATCGCTTTATCCCATGTGGCCTTGGTTCTTTACTCGTTGACTTTTGGGGTTTTGCCCCGACTCCAAAGAAAGTGAGAGTGGGATGACCTCAGGCCAACCTCCAGTGCCGACCTCAGTCCTAAAACTCTGCTCCAATGGGACAAGGGTTTAACTCTGAATCCTTTCTGCTTCATATACTAACAAAACCACAGGCACGTAGTGCTCCTGCTGGACCCCAACAGGTGCAAAATGAGCCAGAATGAGCTCCAGCATCTGCTGGCAGCACCAGAGAGCAAACAGCCCTGGCAAGAAAGGACTGGGGCCAGACCGACCTTCTGGCTCCAAACCATGGTCACCACAGCTCTGCTGGTGGCATCTTTCTTCCAATTCATGCTACCAGGCTTGTCTGCACATGTGGTTACTCTGGACTAGCCCTTCCACTTCAAATACACACATCGTCCTATTCCAGAATAACTTCCACGTGTGGACGAGGTGTTGGCTCAGGGGGGTCTCCAGATCCCTCGCATGAATTTGTGGCTCCCACAATTAGGAGGACCCTTTCATACTACAATTCTGTTTATATTGGCTTATGAAGGGTTGACAAATTGCTGATATTATAAGGGCGTTCCAGACATGCTGACCGTGTCTTTCTGATGGTTAGGAATTTTTCAGTCAAAAATGTTACAGTTGATTATAAAATGGAGTTAAAAGGTTCAAGTGAACTTGTTATATGCTATAATATTCAGATAGTAAAAGACCTATCTAACTCCTTGCTCATCCTTTAGATACTGTTTGTAAATTGAATTCTAATGTTCTGTTATGGTGAAGGGGCATCTAGGTGCTAATTATCTTTGTTCTGTTGGCAAGACTCGATCTGAAGACTGCAATGAAACAGATATGCAGCTCTACATCTTTTACAAAGTTATTTTCGGAGCCTGACTGAGGACATTTAAAATCTTTTAATTGGCAATTAGTTCTCTTGCTAATCACCAGCAGCTCTCAGTTAGAAGTGGCTGCATTTCTCTGGCATTTGCACAAAGCCCTGTCTTGGAAAGGTCCTGTTCTGCATGCCTTACTCTGCAAAGCTGTCTCACAGCTAATGGGACCCCTCAGATCTGCAGATGTTGCTAGAGACGTTGTCTGCAGACGCCGAGCAGGGTTCTCTGCGGCAGAGAATCGCTGCCTGCATTGTGCCAACCTGGTTAGACGGCACTGCAGGTGCTGTCTCATGAGCAAGTTTGTACTTGAAATGCAGGCAGGGCCAGAGAGAGAGAGCCCGAGCTCCTCGTTAGGAGGGAGAATGTGAATAAAGACATCTTGGCAATCGATGCGTGGGCTGATGCTTCCCATGCCTCGTTATCATGCCCGTCAGTCCTTTCTAATTGCTGCTGGCCCCAGCGCTGGGGTGGGAGGGCCTGGCAGGTTACCTGTCTCTCTGGGTGCCAGAACTTCATTTTAGCTTTTGCACAAGAAGGGCCTGGTTCTAGCTGGTGCTGGTTTTAGCAGACTGTGCTTGCTTGAGGCTAGGTGCTTCTGGTGGGACAAGAGCATCCTCTCTTGGGCATCCAGGGGAAGGGATGTGAATCTTCCACCTCTGGTTCAGCCGTGCTAAATCTGAAAGGGCCTGCTAGTTGGAAGTAGGGAGGGAACCAACCTAACTCCTTTCAGCTGACTTGGGGCACGGTCCAAAGCTCACCAAAATCATTGGAACAACTTCCACTGGCTCCACTGGGTTTGGGGTCAGGATTTTGCTGTCCCAAAGTGTCAAGCACTGGAGTGTGGCATCTGCACTGTCCCCACCTGGGATGTATCCAAAGAGTAGCAGGGCTTTCATTCCCCCATGAAATCCCCTCCTTCTGGGCTAGTTATTCCCTTGCCCTACCTCCCACCCTGTCTTTCTCTCTATTACTTTAGCTGCTTTTACAAGTGTCTTCAGCATCTGAGATTAAGTGGGTAGTTTTTCTCTCCCTCCCACTGACCTGGTCCACCATGGTCCAAGCATGCTGCTGCCTCAAGCATTTGCCTCTTGGACACTTGGAGTAATGCACTTTGCACAGGGAAGTTTCGATGGGCCACTGTCTCGAGAGCGCAATGAGACTCTGGCTTTTATCTCTGGATTGACTGATGTCCAGGGAACATGACGGGAGCGATGCCAGACCCACCAGGGCTAAGAGGCAGCCCAGGTGCTTGTTGTGATGAGCAGACCTTGGGAGTTTTCCAAGGAAGAGTCCTGGTATCTCTGATGTTTGGAGGTCAAGCTAAACTTCTAGATCTGGCAGCTGAATTTTAACACTGTCTAGGAGCTCAGGAGGGCTCCCTATTCATTGCAGTGGCTGCCACGCAGCCTGGCTTCTTGATTTTTATTGTAAGTATTCACTGATTTAATTCAATGAGAGTTTAACTAAATTGGTGCATAAGTTTGCCAGCTCTCAGCTTTGGGGGTCCCTGCCTTAAACCTTCAGTGAAAGATCCCCAGCCCCCATCAATGGGTAGAGTGTGCAGCAAGGCGGGGAGGTGACCTGTGTTTGGAGAGCAAAGGAGGGCTGGACATTCGCTGGGGATTTACCTGCCTTGGGGATGCCTGTGGAAATTGCCTGAGAGCAGGTTGCCAGTGTCTTGGGGATGTTTCCCTGCAGCAGAGGAATGACTGGGGCTAGGGTTAGGCAGGGACTCCAGCAGGGAGCTCTCGTGGCTGTCGGGTTACTGGAGGACAGTGCCCAGTGAGTCCTCTCCCTTCCCAGAGCTGACACTTTGCATTATTGACTTCCACTCACAGAAGAATAACACAGGGCATGAAGAAACAGGAATGTTTTACCAGCGATAATTTACTGGTGCCTGAAATTACTTTCCACATTCAGCCGGTGGTTTTGGAATTAAGTTGCTGCTGTTAATTTAATTGCTGCAAGGAGACAGGAATGGAGGAACTCCCAGGCACTGTTCTGCTTATGCACGTGGGGCCTGGTTTTCTTGTGCCTTAGAGAGGTGTAAATCAGGAATAACACAGTCAACGCCTGGCAGCTATGCTGGTATCAAGTTAGACAATGATCTTCTTCTCTTTTTACTCCTGCTACCTTTATCTTGTAGACTACAGCTGACAAAAGTTTGTAGCAGGGATGGCACTATACACACATGCACCCACACACACACGTGTTTGTGTGTGTGTGTGTGTTCGTGTGCCTATTATACATTATTGCAATGGGGGCCAACCTTTTTAGCAGACATGCCACTGATTTAATTCAATGAGAGTTTAACTAAATCAATGCATAAGTTTGTCAGCTCTCAGCTTTGGGGGTCCCTACCTTAAACCTTCAGTGAAAGATCCCCAGCCCCCATCAACGGGTAGAGTGTGCAGCAAGGTGGGGAGGTGACCTGTGTTTGGAGACATGCCACTAATTAGCCCCGTACCCTCCCCAAGTGCTGCTCTGGTCCCCTTCCCCTGCCTGCTCTGCTGCTCTGCTTTCTGCTTCCTGCCCTATCTGCTGCTCTGCTGCCTGTCCCTTTACTGCTCTGCTGTGTGCCACACGCAGAGGTCTCCCGTGTCACTTGTGACACATGTACAACAGGTAGGCCACCCCTGAATTATTGTATATAATGTATACAGATAGGATATTAACAGCTGCCTGTCATATATATGTGTGTGTGCCTATGTCTGCGTGTGTGTATATATAATAGAGTGAAGTGCGTTTGAGATCTAGGAATTACAACTGGCTCATTCTGGATGAAGGCCAAGGCTTATTTTTACTCATTTTTTTTCCCTTGCAGTGTAGAAGCACACTGAGGAGCTTGCTTGCAGGCTGTGGGTGCCCTGCCAAGGGTTGAAAATTGCCAAGTCAACTGCATGTTTCAGTCAGCTCAGCCCTTCTACCAGACAGCTGCCCCTGCAAACAAATACCAGCATGCCCAGAGATCGGCAGTCCTTATCCCTCCTAAAAGGCCAGGCCAAAGAAATTGGTCTTGGAAGTTGGCACGTCCAGGCTTTTTTGGATGGGAGGACAGTCTCAATTCCTTCAGGGCCTTAAGAGAAAATCCTTTGTCAGACGTCTCCTTTCTTCTCATAGCAAGAGGGGATCCAGCGATCCGGTGTCCCTGTCTCAGCCGGTGGCCTCTCTGAGAGGGTGCACCCACTCCCCATTCTCAGAGAGGGAGGCCTCTGAGCCTGCTTGTCATGTCCACCTGCTCCCACTCCTGTGTGGCAAAACCAGAAATGTGGTGGTCAAGCTGCTCCAGGGGCACCCGGCTGTCTCTGACATGCTGGAGAGCAGCCGCAGGAGGCATCCCCGAATTGCCATGTCTCCAGGTTTGGTGCATGTGAGCAAGGAGCAGGGGCGCTTTGGGGAACCTCCCTCCTTGAGGACACCGGGGAGACAGTGTACACATACCCATGACACTGGGTCAGAGGTGGGCCTATTGAGGGAAAGATACAGGCACACACACCACACTATTCATTTCTACCGGGACTCCAAAGCTGTGTGTTGCATGCATCATCAGAGGGAAATGTGGCTTCAGGTGCAGCTGAGCTTAGCAAAAAGGCATTACCAGGATTGCCAGTGACAACATCATGAATCTGGCCTTGCAACAGTTGTTGTGTATGTGTGTGTGTGTACGTGTGCATCTGTATGTGTGTGCGCGTGTGTGTGTGTGGATACACATCCTCTAGTGCTGTCCAGTGTGTTAAATCAGTGCAGCGTGAACCCTGCAAGAGCATTTTATGGCTGTGTTTGTCCCAACACACTGATATGGCACAAAATGCCCTCACAGTAGAGACTGAGTCTCTGAGTAACAAGCTCTTTTGGCCCATTGAAGTTATTCCTGCTTTTCCCTAACTCTAGCCAAACCCGTACTGAGCAGGCCAAAGCTAACAATAAACACACCATGCCGAGTTTATATTAGGCTAAGTCAGATAATCTGCTGCGAGTCTGACTTGAGACCGCTTCCTTGCGTGGGGAGATGCCGCGTGTCGCTTTGCTCGAGTTTTGCCTGCTGTTTTCAAAGAGAATTCATGCTTTGAGGACAGCGAAGCTAAATATAGATACAAGGATCAGCAAGATTGTGCAGGGTTGAGAAATCACACATGTCATCCTGAAGCCCGGAGTGGGTAGAAAACCTGTGGAGGCCCGTAACATAGTCTCCACTGTGTCTGCATCGCAAAGCCAACACGCAACTTGGCACAGCAGAGAGCCAGGACTGTAATAATAGCAGGAGGGTACGGCTGGTACTGACTGAAGTACTTTGGGAGGACTAGGGAGATGCAGGACTGGAAGAGTGCGTGTGGTGGGGGTATTGCAAGTCAAGACATCAGAGCAAAAGGCTCCCCAGAACGGGCAGAGTCAGGGGGCTGGAGGTAAGGCTTGAGATGCACTAGCATTGGGGGATGCTCGACCAGGGTAGCAAATAGCTACTGATACTCAGGACTAAGGTGCATTGGTAGACTAGGGCATGGGGCAGCTGCAGAGCAGCGAGCCATGCTCTGTCTCTAATATTGGCCAGTGCTGTGAAGTTGTTCCCTTTCACGGGCATTAAATCTACTCAAAGAAAGAGCCCACACATGAGATGGTTTTTCCCGGGAGGTAGGAGAGGCCTTTCCTACCTCCCTGTACACGCTCACTCATCCACGTTCACTCGTTTGGTCCATGATGGACAGAGATACTGTTGTTCAGGTTGCCAAGGGATTTGTTCAAGGCCTTTTGTTCTTTCCTCCACAGCCTTTGGCCAAAGGAGCCTTCCTTCGGGGATCGGGATTAAACCTGGCAACGGGGCGCTTCACAGCACCTGTGTCTGGCATCTACCAGTTTTCAGCCAATGTCCACATTGGTAAGTGTTGCTCTCTGCTGTGGCACCTTCTGATGAAGGGATGCTACTTTATGGCTCTCTGTCTTAACACTTTACTATTAGGGACTGCTGCATCGGACTTTGAAATGGCTTTTGGGCCAGGGTTAGGGCTGACTGAATTATTCACAGTGAACCAATTTCTTGGTTGACTTCAGAGAGCAAAATGTTCATAAACAGTTCACAATGTTGACTCACATATTTGTTAGTTGGAATTTGTTGGCAGGCGATCGGCGGGAATATGTTGCAGCCTTGGAAGTGCTTGGGATCTGCTCTCTGAGAACTGCAGCATAAATCTGCTATTTGAGCAGCACGAGGCCTCTCTTCTACAGCATGAACTTTGTGTCTTCATCAACAAATCTCGGTTACGAGCCCTGAATTCCCTTCCCAAACACGTTTCTGTGTGGGAAAACGTGCCCTCCGCGAATGATTAAGGAAAGTGGGGGGAGACAAGGGGGGAACTAGCTGCAAATTGAGCTGAAAGGCAAGGTGATTCAGCACCCGCAGACCTATTCACTTTGTGCTTTTCCTCCCGCTTGGCCCTCCGTGACATAGCCTGCTTCAATCGAACCCCAGAAGTGTGTTTCTCTGATGGAGCCATGAGGGGCAGGTTGATCGTATGTCGTGCTTCAGCGTGAGTTTATTTTTATGGTTTGCTTCTTTTCCAAGACCACAGTGAGCTGAAGAGTAAAGTGCAGCTCCGAGCCAGAGACAACGTCCGTGTGCTGATCTGCATCGAGTCCCTCTGCCACCGATACACGTGAGTCACAGCAGTGTTACCATGGGGCAGCTGCCTGCTCGGTCGCTTAGTGGAGTGCCCTGCATCACCTCCGTACATGGTGGACCCTCGAACTGCTTTTGAATTCAATAAGAGGCAGTGGGATGCGGACGCACTATTATTTCTGCCCCTCCTTCATGACTTCAGGGTTCAAGGCTAACCTGCGCTCTGATAATGCAGGTTCGGCAGGAGGCTCGGGGCTTGGCTTCCTGAAGTCAGATCCGCTCCTCCTCTTCATCCCACCAAAGTCGATAGTTATGTTCTTTATGTGTGGTCTGCATTTTATCCTCGGGTTTTTCCTAGGTTTGCATCTAGGCAAATAGTTTAACTCTCCAGGCTCGAGGTCCTGCTTTGCATGGCGGGGCCGGGGGGAGGGAATAACAATATTTCTCTGCTTCACCACAGAGCTGCGAGCTGTAATTGTCTAGTTAATGAATGAGACTGCTAGGAAGCTCTGAACAAAATCCTGCCTCGTTTAAGTCCATCAGAGTTTGCCATTCACTTTAATAGGATCGGGCTTTATTATTCTAATTATGATGTGAGATGACCTCAGAGAACTCCTTAGTTCAAACCCTCCTCGACAGGAATCCACTTCCCTGAGCCGCTCAGCCACGCTTGTTATAATTGATTTCCTTTGCACGAGTCCTTGGGCTGAGCCGGCAAAGGAAACTACTCTTCCCCTTAGCCCTAAAGCACCTGGTCCCTCTTGAGATCTGGGAGGACATCCATCCATGTGGAGCTGCCTGATGGGCGAACCTGTTCCGTTCCACGCGGACTTTGTTCTCTGTTGCTGCTTTCATGAAATTCACTGAGAAACGTTTCAGACCCTTATTTAAAAAAAACCCAAGAGGGGCGTTTGTCTCGAATCTAATAAAAGACATGACTGGAAACTTAACAGGGTGCACAGATCCATTTGGCAAGTGGACATTGTAATATATTTTGCACTTGCCTATGCAAAGCAGCAGCTTTACTGCCCGACCGGATGAGGTCATGGATAGAAAATGCTGCCTTTAGTACCATGTGGCTGGCTCACTATGGCTAAGATGTGTGTTATCAAGGCGTGACAACCAGCTCACCAGCCTCGCTTAGGCAGGAAGGCTACACAACTCTAGGCCTCTGGACCCCTGCTGCAGAGAGGCAGAGTAAACCCATCAGGCTTACTGTTGATTTTATAGTACCAGAGTTGCCATTTTTGCAAAAGCTCAGTAAATCCACAGCCACTGAGTCATTTCTGCCCCAAATGCAGAAAGCCCTATCATATGAGCCAAAGGAGAGCCTTTGTTAGCAGGGTGAGGTCTGTGACATGCAGTCGGGCAGTACTGAGTCCATCCAGCCTTCAGCAATAAGCTAACTCGAAACTCTTCAGCCATTGAGCCATGAGCTGGTAACTATAGAAGGCTTTTTTCATCTTCTTCAAACCAGTCATTAGGTCCAAGAGCCGTGCTCTTCTGGGGTGAGTTACCTAAGAGACCGTGTGAATATACCCTCTGGTTAGCACATTTGTTGGCTTTCCTTCCTGTTTTTGGGAAACGTATTCTCAAAGCTGATCAACGAACAGAGTTGCTTTTCTTTTTCCCCAATGGTGCCATTTTACCAGCTGTAGGAAGCCTTTCTGCTGTCCCATAATTGCTGCACTAATGTACCTTTCCTTACACAAAAAAGATTTTTTTCTGGTTGTGTTGCTCAGAAACTTTTGTCCTGTTGAAGTTCAGTGACCCAAATAGACTAGTAAATTGAAATCTTGTTTTTTGAACTTGAAGACCTACCACTTAAGTGCGACCTATTTAAGTGCTGGTCAGCAAAAGGGCAATCTATGTTGTACTTACACTCCATTATGAGCACCGACTGTCTGCTAAAGGGTAAATTTGACATGCATCTAATCTGCTGCAATGCAAACAGAGGTCATATGCTTGACACAGGAGCCCCTGGTTGCACTCTGCAGCTCATGTTGTGTAGAAAGCCGGACGGGTGATGGTCATGGTTTCTTCTCCCTTGAAAATTTTCAGGTCTCGGATGATCAGCTGGCCTGAAAGAATTCTTCTTCTCCTTCCCCCACCATACACAGCGTGGCACAGTTGGATATGTCCATTTATCAGTATAGCGTAGACTTACCCCTGCTAGCTCGGTTGCGGGGGGTCTACCCATCGCAGCTTGGAGTGAAGCACAGGCTGGATTAATACTTGGGTGTTTCTCTGTGCTGAGCTCCATGCCGATGCTCCATGCGTGGCACTGCCAGCAGCACTGCACCCAGCTCATTCAGGCATGCTGATACTCTGCTACAGCTGTGGCATTGACTGCAGTGAAGATACCTACTGTAGGTCTTCAGGCATTTGGCACTCCTGGAGGCAGGTTGGTGAGTTTGAAGGACTAGTGGTTTGAGCTTGTCTGGGAAACCTTGTGGACTCAGCTACATCAACCAGGAACTCTCTGCCCAAGGAGGTGTGGAGGGAATAGGACCTTGCTTAGAAAGAAACCTCTGGTCCTTGAGCGTTGTGTGAGTCTTGCTGTGAGCCCTGACTGCTTGGGAATGAATGGTGCTATCTACTGGTTGTAGGTAAGTAAATAATCTGTACCAAGAGAGAGTCATGGTCCCACAGGGGCCAGAATCGAACTTGGTGGACGGGGCTGAGTTGAGAGAGCAGTACTGAAGTGTCAGAAAGGAAAGACTGAATCTTTCATTTTGCTTCCGGGAGGAAAGAACAAGCATGTGGTTCGGAAATACAGGAGCTGTTGTGGCTTTTACAAGTTTTATTAGCTGTGAATGGAGTTTCTCCCTTGCCCTGACTTCAGACAGCCCACACCCATCAACTGCTTCCTCTGCTTAATAACATAAGAGCCCTGCTAAATCCCGGAGATGTACAAGTTGTCATTATGGCAACCTTTCCGACCCAGCGGCCTATCAATCTTCCTGAGGAGAGGCTCCCACAAACCCACCCCTTAGATGTCACTGCAGAGAGATATCAACATGTTAATTCAGCATTGGGCGGATTAAGTTAGCTTGGTGTTTGTTATTTCAGCTGCAACCCATCTGGCTGGAGCTTAGCATCTCGTTGATACTGCCCTCCAAAATGCTGAGCTGATTGGGAGAGGAGATTGGGATGATAGCCACCGCTAAGTCTAAGAGTTTTTGACTAAAGTATGCTGATGCTCCTACCCGTACTAGAAACCCAGAGGTTCCCGGCTGGAGGGTCTTGCTTTTCTGCTTAGCATCACACTGATCACTCTAGGTCTGAACGGCATGGACTGTAGTGTGGGGCATGGCCCTCTTTCTTCTGTGTCTGTATTAAAAGATTACTTCCCCATCTTTGTAGTGTCAGGGCAAGGGCCCTTTGTCTCCTTGGCTGTTGCCTGGGGTATGTTATAGCATGTTCTAGTAGCTTTGGATATTGTTCCTTGTAGTTTTTCTTGTGGGTGTGAAGTGGTGATTTGGGAACTTCCTTGGATTAATGGTCACCTGTGAATGCAACCAATGGGCTTGATAGCCTGTGAAATAAGGTGTTCCTATGTAGACGGATGGTCTGCGATTCCTGGTGCTAAATGTGCCAAGAACTATAAGGCTCTTTTTCCCCCATCACCTGGTGCCCATGAAATCTGTGAAAAGGCTGATAATCACTCTATGATGGCATCCATAAATCATGGTGAGCATTTGAGTTCAAGCCACAGGTTATTGAGTTCATTGGCCTCTTAGTAGAGTTTGGGGCATTCAGGAGAGGCATCAAGGCAGCGCTGTGCTGTTATCGAGTTTGTTCTTAATGCAGCAGTCCTAGCAGGGAAAGTGGTATAGCCATGTTAGCATGGCACTGGGGCTGGAATAATTAGGCCATCCACGTCGACTTTGGTATGAGAACTCGCTCATACACAGCTAGGTCAGGGGGGCTCTGCATGGTACGGCATGGAGCCATGTTATTTCTCAGGGAGAGAAGGAAAAGCCATGAAAGTAAAAGACTGCAGGGAAAATTTCCAAAGGCGTCTGAGCAGCTTAGGAGCCTGCAGCCCATATTGTAAACTGACTTTGGCACGGAGGGATCTGAGTTTCACCGAGAGTCGTTGGGCCTCTAAGAATGTGGAAAACAGGATGCCTGACCCTTGAGGCAGAAACGCAGTGGAGGTGGCATGGGGGGGATTGCAGGAACGATGCATTGAGGAAGCAGCACCTTTGCCTTGTACACTAGAGCAGGCCCCGCTTCTGGCAGCTAAGGGACGGCACAGGATCAAGTGATACCTGCATTGCACCCACAGGCATGACTCTAGCATAGGCAAGTCCACCCCATCTCGTTATCATGGGTACTAGTGTCGGGCACTCGGACTTCGGTGCAAGCTAACAACCGAAGTACGTGCCCACCGCCCTCAACGGGTTGGAGTGCACGCTGCCAGGTCTTCCCCACGCTCGGCAGATTAAGCCTGCCTGTTTGACTGCAGTGTAGACCAACGCTTCGGGTCTTCAGGGGCAAGCTCGGCCCTCGTCAGCTTTTCCTAGCTTGTGCAGGCCCGGCGTTTCCCCCAGCAGAGGGCAGTGCTGCTCACGTATAGCAGCCAGCTCCTCGCCGGCGAGCTCCCGGGCGAAGACGAGCAGTCCCTCCTGCCCTGCGCACCAGCCAGGCTAGAGCAAGCAGGAGCAAGGCCCAGACAGGAACACCACCGAAAATATGTCCATAAACCAGCTTCACAGGCGTGACCTCAGCCCACAAAAGCCATTAAGCACGCTGCCGCGCTGGCCTCTCCACCTGCCGCTTTGCCCCGCTCAGCAATGCGGGGCGTCTCCGGTGGAATCGACCTCGCCGCCACCGTCCTCGATGCGAGATTTTATTGGAGGAAAGGGGCCAAAATAAGACCTTGCACAATAAATACCATGTCTCGCGCTTATGTTTCATTGGCCTGTGGAAAAGACGCAAGTCGGTGCCAAAGTACCCATTAGTAACCAGGGAGATGGGGAGGGCCAGGTGCCCATTGACCTGCGGGGAACAGGAGAAACTTGCTGGGCAAAAAAGCTGGCACCCGCTTGGTTTTGCTGAGTGCTTTCTATACTGTCGGTGCCCGGTGAAGCGAGAGCTTGATGAGACTAGGTGTGGGGAACTGAAGAGGTGGACTTTTTTGCTGTCTTAGGATAGCCTCACCGGTAGCCTTCCAGTCCTGGTCCTTGCTATGTGGGACCAGGTCGAATCGAACGTCTGGGTAAGCTCCCTTCATGCAGTATCTCTCTGCCGTCCTGCACCAAACCCCTGTCACCTTCACAGTCTTGCCCTTCCTGATTTCCCTGGGAACGGGTCGGAGATTGTTGGCCCCTGGACTCTGGGTGGCAGGGCCTGCCAGATGCATCGTGTCTCTCATACTTTTGGGATACGGAAAAATGTTCCCAGTGGAAGAAGCTGGTCATTTTTAGTGAAGACCTTAGCCAGCGTGGGTCAATGGCAGAGGTTGTCAGAATCACCTGAGGGATTTGCAAATCATAGGCTATTCATATAGCGTGCCAAGGAAAACGGGCTGTTTTTATTTTCAGCCAAGGGCCATCTTGTTCCCCTGATTTTCTTCAATAGTAGCAGAGCTGGAAAGCTGAGTTCCCTTCTGCAGTGCAAACGGGGCTTACGTTGACTTCCTAATCCTGCTAAAGCTGTAGCTGGTTTTGTGGAAGGACATTTCAGGTTTGCGGAAAGTAACTACCTAAGTAGGAATGAGAGGGGCTGTTCTGGCAGTCCTTCTGGGAGGGAGGCTTTATAAAAAAATGCTCCTTCCTTATGATTCACTATCAGCAAACTATTTTCTGGGTTGTTTTGAAGTTGGGCTCTCGTTCCTCAGAAGCACATTTTTAACTTGTAAGGCCCATGATGCTATTATGCCTTGGCTTGGGACGTGTTTATTTAAAAGGCCTAATATTTTTAGAGCTGTAGGCACTTGGGCCTGATTGTCACTTCATGGCTCTAGGAGAGGAGAAGAGAAACCATTTGTAAAAATAAACAGAGCTGGGTGGGGGGAGATTTCCTCCCTTATCAGATCCTCCGAACTCCCCACTGCTTTGATGAAGGCACTTCAGGGAAAACAAAGTGCTTTTCATCAGGGACCAGCAGAGACTCCCTAGGTCTGACTGCACCCGAAAGCTTGCTGAGAACTTTTTTTTGCCAACTACGCAGTTGGTCTAACAAAAGATATCACAGCTACCCAAAGGACCTCGCCTGCCTTTCATCAGGGAAGTTCTTTCATCTCAACCAAAGCTGAGATGGGAAGTTTTGTCTGTCTGTCTCCCCACCCTACAGCTTACACCAGGCTAGGAGCAACAGTACTGAAAAATGGCTGCTAATCCCACATCTTTCTTGCTGCGGCTGTAGCTTGTCTTCCTTGTTTTCATGAGCACAGGGCTAAGATCTAAGCTAAAGCAGAGTGGGGACTGACCCTTTCCCCACCGACTAGCAGCTGCTCTATGGGTTATCAGTAGTGCTGAAACTGCCTCCTAGGGTCCGCTGGAGTTATCTTCAGCCAGACAGGTGCAGTCAGAGGCCTTGATCCTGCCAAAGGGTCCATTTAAACAGAGCATCTCCCACACATGCAGAGCCACTGAGGCTGCATGTGATTCTCTGCATGGTGTAATGGTCTGCCCCATGCACCCTTTCTGCAGGGCTGGAGCCATCATGAGGCCAGGGACTCTAGCATCATGGAGCAGCAGCCGTGGCTGCTGCTCCACCATGTCCTTGCTTAGTCAAAACTAGTCTAAGAAGTAGTTTTGATTCAGTTAAGCTCATTTAGGTCAGTCTTCATGAGGAAACCTGTCTACATTGGCTGTCCAATGTGTCTACATTGGCTGCCCCTATCTATATTGGCTGTTGATGGTCTTATGGGGCTAACTAGGGTGTCCTGTGAGTTCACCAGTCATAGTGGCTAAGCACAGTCCATGCTTGCTTTTGACAGACATTGCCCTTGCTTTCTTACGGTGGGTGAGGACCTTACAGGTCCTTGGGTGGTGGGAGGAAGGGCGGAGGGGCAGGGAGCCTGCCTGGACAGGCGTGCTTTTGGCACCGGCTGCACTGTGATAGGAGCCGGTGGAATTTGCTGGGGATGCCTATATGTGCAGTCATTAGTTTTAGGGAGCTGAAAAAGCCCTTGGGGCTTTCGGCTAAGGCTGGGAGTGAGAGGGAGATGGAAACTTAGAGGGAAGGAGACGGTGAAAGAGAGATTAATGATGGGAAGTCCCCACCCAGGCTGGGCTTTGGGCAGGATATGACACATGTATTCGGCTTCTCAGTTCACTCTTGGTGCCAAGTGGTTTGTTCTCTATGGGCCAAATAGTCCCCCCACGCAAGTTATTTCCATGCAAGGGGGCTGGAAACTCTACATGTTTGCACTTGTTGTGTGTTTCTTCACAATCCTTCCATGGAAGGGAGGTAGGGTGGGGTTGGTTTCCCAAGGGAAGAGGCTACAGGTAGTACCTGTTGACATGATAGTTCTTGGAGGAGCCCAGTCAGACAAAAACCCTGGGCCTTTATGCAGCTTTCTTCTTCTTTAGCATGCTGTTGGCTTGGAGCTCTGTTCCAGTGGCTTGATCTGATGGTCGGTGCCCCACCAGCTCCATTTTTTTTGCAGAGACAGAGCATCTCCCTTTCTTCACATCCTGCCAGTCTTGGCTGCTTGCCCCTGAGGGTGGCCTCTGCAGGGTAGGAGAGGAGACGGGGACCTTGAGAGAGCCCCTGGTTAGGTTCTGGCTGCGCGGAGCGCCAGGGCTGAGCTGCCCCATGAAAACGATTTTCTGTGCATTTCAAATGACCCTGAATGAAAATGGTAGAGCATTTGCTTGACCAAAATTTGGGTAAGAGAAGAAGAGGCAAAGAATAGGGTTGGGTTAGAGGATGCCACAAGATGTGCAGCATTTTAGAAAATTCAAGAGAGATGGAATGAAAAAAAAAGTAGGCTACCAGGTGCCTAGAGTACATTTAGTGGTTTGATGCTAGACAAGGCTAATTATAGATGAGATATAACTCAGACATGGAATAAAAATAGGTATATGAATATTCATTGGAATAACACCTATTAGAAATGCTTATATAAGTATCTCTATACACCTACGTATCTAGATCTATATAGATATCTTTATATATCTGTATCTAGATTTAAATATATCTATATATATCTCTATATTTCTATATCTATAGATATATATATAGAGAGAGAGAGAGAGATAGAGATATATGTATATATTTTTTTAACTTACTTAGATTTTTACTTTCTACTTCCTGACTCAATATACAAAAAATGACTGAGTTAATCTCAGCTTAATCTCAGAACTATGGTTTATTCTGAATAGCCCATCTGTAGGTGCACTAAGATAAACGCTCTTTTAAAACTTAATTTGAAACCTAGGTGAGAAGGCCTTTTCCCTAGTTAGAGGCTCTGACTATTAGAGGCTTTTTTTCAACTTTAGGTGTTGGAGAAATTAATTTAAAACCCTCTCAAATGCTACCAAGGCTGTTATTTCTTTGGATAAATGCACATTTTATACATTTTAATCATTTGCTTGATGTGCCTCATTTGTACTGTTTAGTTATTTATATCTTTTCCATATTATATTATTGAATTTGCTATTAAAAATTAGGTATCTTTATGTTTGCATTTAATTTTGGTAGAGCTGGCTCTTTGAAACTTTCTTGGTTCTCAGAATATGTCTGAGGGTCAACACACTTCTTCCGAACAAATTGTGGCATGATGTGCAGAAATGCGATTGAAAAAAGACATAGAGCTGGCTCTTTGGAGAGCAGCTACTATACACTGACTACTAGACCTGAATATTCTGGGGGCGTCCTTTGAAATTTGGGATTAGTGTGATTTATAATTGCAAGGGAAATGTACTGAAAGCAGAGGCCTGGCTTTCAGAAGAGTTGAGCACCCAGTTAAAGTCAGCAGGAGCTGTGGGAATTGAGGGCCTCTGAAAATGCAGGTCTCTTTCCTTGTGCTGTTGGTTTTTATGCATGTTCTCATAAAACCTTATCGGCCCAGGAGTTTTTTGGAGAGTAGATTTCCCTGGGGATGGAGTATCCCATAACTGTCACCGCAGGGGTTTGTACAGCTTCCTCTGAAGCACCTGCTACTGACCACTGTCAAAACCAGTTGAGTGGACTAGATGAGCCACCGGCTTGATCCAACATGGCCATGTTTATGATGACACCGGGACATCTCAAGAGCAGAAATGCTGTGTGAGAAAGGAAGGCTATAAAGCAATCTGGTGACTTGCTGCTTCAGTGCTTCTGTTCTGTTTTTCTCTCCCCTCTGTGTAGGTCTTTGGAGGTTATTGCTGGCCTGGAAAGTAACAGCAAAATCTTCACAGTCTACGTGCATGGGTTGCTGCAGCTACAGGTAAGGGTTTGGCATGGAAATTGCCGTGAAGGCATCATTGAGGCCCCATGAGATTGAATGACTTGCCTAAGGTGACAAAGGGGTAGGGGAGGGGTCTGTGTCAAGGCTGGGAACACAAATCAGATCTCTTGGCTCCTAGTCTTCAGGTTCAGCCACCAAAATTCATCTTCCTTTGATGATATGAAAATAACAACTCAGTATTTTGCACTGAGAACACATCATCCTCGCTTGGACAGCACACTGAAGAGATGGGAAAGCATCACTAATGATCTCCATCTCACAGAAGGGAAACTGAGGCACAGGGAATCATATGCCTAAAAGTGACAGAGTAGGGAATCTCTTCTGATCAGTGCTTGACTGCTCTGACCCCTTGAGCAATGCTCCCTCTTCCATCACCAGGCCCTCTCAAGACAAAGACACAACACTGCAGTGAAAAATCCCATCTCCTGCAACTGCAGCATCTTACATGACTGGTCCCTCTGGGGAGGGATCCCCATGTTCAGCCTGGCCCAACTCTTGCTGCAGTTCACCCTCCTTTTGACACTGGGCATCCATTTCAAATTCCTTTCTGTCCTTCTGTTTTGCATGTGCAGGCTGGACAATACACCTCCATCTTTGTGGATAACAGTGCAGGAGCTCCTGTCTCCATTCAGAATGGATCCGATTTCATGGGGATGTTCATGGGTGCATAACCTGGATAGGCTGCCCGGGGTTAGGGGAACGAAGATGAATGGAGGAGCCTCACAACGTATATTGGAGTGAAGAAACCTTTCTTTTGCCCCTCATCAACTGCTTCTTGTTAGCCAGCCTTTGCAACACAGCAAAGTAAGCAGCCTTTTCCCCTTTGCCGACACTACAACTTGCTTTTCAGAGGTGGCCACTTTTACATGTTCAGATCAGTTCTGCCTAAAATATCCTTCAGTCATTATTAGCAAAGAAAAGTAACTGTTTATTATTGAAATGGTCTGTGCTTCACTCAAAGCTCACTGCACAATACACCAAGGTCTGGAAGTGCTGCATTGTAACTGGTTGTCTAACACACTAGCTCTCGTATCCAGCATGTCTCTGGTATAGACGGGTTTGGCTTGAGTTCCTGTGCAAATTAACTGACAAAGCAGACGTAAAAGAATGGATGTATTCTGTGTGTTTGGGAGGAAGGAACTGGGACTTTGCCAGCAAACTCTACTCATGTCATGCCTGAGAGGAGGTGAAAATCCCATCCCCTGTTGGATAACTGATCTGCGGCCTGTCGACTGCTTTATCTAATACCAAGCTCAAGCGACGCTCAGTGTAATTGCAGGAGCCAGAGGACTGAAGCCACACCATTCCTTTGTGTTCAAGTAGTTCCTTAATCTCTTGATGAAGCTGAATATTTTGTGTTGGCTACAGGGTTATATTTTTCTACTAGGGTAGGTCAGAAAAGCAACAACAGTTCTAGCCAACTCTCCGCTTCCCTTATTCTTATGTTTTAGTAAGATTATATGTACGTATTTTGGGTCACATCATATATCCAGTATTCCCTTGGGCACCCCACAGCAAGTTGTAAACGTCAGACGTGTGGCGCTAGTGCCAATAGGTCTGGCAAAGTTCGGGGAACAGCGGCACCAGACCGGCAATGAGAGCGCTGTCATCTTTTTATGGTGTGAGCTTGGCAATGGAAGAGCTGAAAGTATGAATAATAACATGGGGTGAAAGTCACTTCTGTATAAAGGATGTCGCACCTTATCCCCACGTGATGGTCTTAAATGAGGCAAAACTGTCTTGGATGTCACCCTGAAAACACTGAGCAGGTCCAGACTTCTGCAGAACCAATAAAATAGGTGGTTTAGTGGGTGCTACCAGTCCCAAATTCACCCCAAGATGTGAAAGTCTGACCCAAGTGGAGGTGTTGGGAACTGTGACTTCAGTGGGGTCAGAATTTGAATCAGGATCTGCAGATTCAAATAGTCTTTGAGGTGTATTGTATGGATCCTCAGTGTTAAATTCAGCCACCGTAGACAGGATTTGGATGTTTTGTTAATGCAACCACATTAGAAACCCTGCTTTGCAGGATGATGCTAAAAAGACACTGGTAAGGCAAAAAAGGAATTGAGAGTACTTTTAACATGGGTTTAAACTGATGAGGAAAATTCAACAGATCCAAAATGCCGGGGGTGTGTGTGTGTGTATTGTCTTTTTCTAATCAGCCATGCTGTCTCTTCGCAATACAAGCTAAGGGCCCTAGTACACCATTTTTATGGGACCTATGCAAACATGGTCCTCAGATGGATTTATAGAAAAGGACAATCAATATGCTGGGGTATTCAGTGTTCGAGACACGCTTGTCTTGAGTCTTGTGAACAAAGATGTTGAAGTTAAGGCGCTGGGGAGAGCAGATGGTTTTAAACCAGAAATTGCTACATTCATTTCAGCTTATTCTAAACACATGGAGAAAAACATGAAGATGGGAGCAAAATGCTATTTGCAGTTTGCTAAGAACGTATTAAAATAGTATTGATTGGGAAAAACTGGCCCTTTTTGTTTTCCTAAACACAATAAACTTATTCAGTGTTGGTGGATCAGTCCTAGATTCATAGAATTATAGACAATGAGGGTGGGAAGGGACCTCAGCAGGTCACATGTAATCCAACCCCCTGCTCAATGCAGGACCAGCCCCACCCAACTAGATCATCCCAGCCAAGGCTTTGTCAAGTTGGGTCTTAAAAACCTCCAAGGATGGAGAGTCCACAACATCTCTGGGTCACCTGTTCCAGTGCTTCACCACCCTCCCAGTGAGAAAGTTCTTCCTAATGGCCAGCCCAAATTTCTCTTGCTGCAACTTGAGCCCATTGCTCTTTCTTTGGTCATCTGCTACCACCGAGAACAGCCCAGCTCCATCCTCTTTGGACCCCACTTCAGGGAGTTGAAGCTTGCTATGAAATCCCTCCTCAGTCTTCTCCTCTGCAGACTAAATAAGCCCAGTTCCCTCAGCCTCTTTTCACAAGTCAAGTCCCCAGCCCTCTAACCATTTTTGTTGCCCTCCACTGGACTGTCTCCTATTCCCTACAGACTGGTATGACTGTCGAGCATCCAGCAGCAGTACCAAGGTATGTATTACACTGAGTTAGCTATCTACTGCATCATATATACTAATGTCTCCCATGGAAGCTTTTGACTAGTGTGCTTGGTTGCTGGAGTCAGGCAATCAGTGGTGGCCCACCCACTAATGGAAATGAATCCCCAGCTACCAAAGGGAAGAGGCAGTAGCCATAGATTATGGTTTCTGGTCTCAAGAGAGCACATACACGCATGCACATAAACGCACTCGGTTGTCAGCTCAATCCAATCAGTGAAAACTGACCATTCACATTGGGTTCTTACAGAGTAGATGTAGCCAGGATGAGTAGCTTATAACCCAACATATATTCCTATACCATTTTATATTGTGTGAATATTTGTACTATACGGGGCTGTTTCATGCATGTCTTGCAGCGACATAATCACAGAGTGTTGTGCCACTCAACGTGTATTGTTATATGTATGGATTTTTGAACAAAGTTTCACTGTTCTTGGCAAATTGGAGTTGAAATATTTATTTTATCATAGAACTAAACCAGTTGTCTGACTCTGCGCTGTTTTTTTGTGTGTCTTCGAGCGCCTGCTTTCTCCCACTCACAAACTCCCTCGGTTGGATCTGCACCGTATGAGGTACCTGGAAGGACACAACCCTCCTTGTTGTTATTTGTATTAGCATAATGCCTGAAAGACCCAACTGTGATCATCACCGCCATTGAGCTAAATGCTGCACAGCCATGGAGCAAAATAGAGCTCCCTCTCTGAAAATGCTCCAGACTAGAAGCCAGGCCTATCTCACTGCCCAGCTATGTAAGTGGTACCCAGGCATGTCAGTGGGATCCTACTCTGCCCTGCCTGAAATCCTGAGAGGCCATTAGTGCAAAGGCAAGTGAGATAGATCTCCTCCTCCACCTCATCCCTTTGAGAGACTTAGTCATAGGCTTGTTATAAAAGTTGGTAGTTTAACCACTTTAAAAGGACTCCCCTTCACTGTCCAGGAGGATCTGGCACTAGCTAGATATAGGGGTGCAGTTGCACAGGTAGGGACCTTCCCAAATTCATGCAGGATGTCATCATTAGAGCCAGGTACAGAACGGAGGCCTCTTGTCTTTGGGTCTGGTGCTCTATTGACTACACAACACTGCCTCTCCAGCATGGCCAGCAAACAAGCGTGCAGTGGCATACTCTTGGTGCAGAGAAATGGGTCACACTAAGGGTCCCCATGCTAAGGGCTATGCTGTGCCCCTGGGCTTCAGCCGTCCATCAAGTGAAATGTGAAAAAGAGAATGGGCCCTCCAATGGGAGGACCAGGGTGAGGAAGATGAAAGGAGGGCGTCTTGGGAGGGAAGCTAGCAGGCATCTTGGCCAGGGAAGGCGGAGAAGAGCTGACGCAAGGTGCCTGTTTTCGGGTGCAGTGCTGAGAGTGCACAGAGCTCAAGAATAATAGCTCCTAAAGTGAAAACAGAAGACACCAAAGCAGGGCATGCATGCAACGAATGCATTGAAAGGCCTGAATGCTGTTTGGAGGCAGAAGAGATTGATGGTGTGAGAAGCAAAGTCTCAATGCTCCTCTGTTTGTAGCCGTAAAATTTATGGTCCAAGGAACTGCAAAAGCTTGGGAGAATGGGAGTTCAGTGCAAAGGAGAGGCTGTTTATAACCAGACAAAGCCAGAGCGCCTGAGCCTTGTGGATCAATGGCTGAGGGTGTAAATCCTGCATCAGCAGGACCCAGAGGGAAGGGGGGGAGAGGATGCGTGACGGCTTTTCCAGGGGCAGAAACAGAAAGAGGTGCAAACTTGAATGGTGTTTTCTACTTCCCCAACCCAGTGAGATGCTGATGTTTGCAGGCTAACCATAAGAGTCGTTCGTCTGCCACACCTACATCCACACATCTCAAAAGGTGGTTTATTTTACACTTCCACGTCCCTGCTCACCATGCCATCCTCATTTGAATACTTCTGGTCTTTTATATTTGAAATGCTCCGTTCTGAAATTGTCCCCTGGAAAGCTATCGCAGTCCATATTTCACGTTAATTGTTTCAAGCCCTGCAATATGCTGTGGCGATCATCCAGTTTTTTGGGCTGTTACTGAAGGCTACTATATGTTGTACAGGGGGATAGTTTTAAGCAAATGATTTGGCAAAAACCTTGTCTATTATGCTAAAGAAATTGCTGCCAGTGCCATTCAGATCAGCTTTAATCACCTCTGATCCTATCATTAGCAATCCCCTGGCACTTGCCATGTGAATCAGGGCTTGTCCTGATGTCTGTGGGCAACATTTCCCATGCTGATCAGTATATGGATCATTCAGCTGGCTTCTCTGCCCCGCTGCAGAAGTGGCTGGATTTCACTGCCGCGTGGCATGTTCTCTGGGCTCCTACGTATTGAGAAGCCCTGTGTAAAATTTAAGGCAGAATTATTTGAGCTCCCAGTCCCTGCTTTGTTTCTTATGCATGTGTGCATGCGTTTTTTTTTTCTCTCTGGCTAGGTACAGGTGTTCAAAAAGCCTGAAGCAGAATCCATCTAAGTTGTGCGGTTTTCTCTAATAGTTTAGATCGGTAGCGAACAGAGCACACGTTTGCCCTTCGGTGCAGGGAGGGGCAAATCCTAGTCTGGTTTCCACCATTTTGAAACCAGTCTGTGTGTGCCGAACTTCTGTTCTGTTACAGGTACAGACTGGTTTCTGATCAGTCCTACTGGTAAAAGTGCAATGTCTCTCTCATTCTGGATCTTTGGTCTGCGTGCCCTACCTTTGAACTCCATCGATCTGAAAGGGAGGAGCATGCTGTAGCGTCACCTCTATGGTGCAGTATGAGCAGCACGAGAAGCATACAAACATTCACTGCATTTTTTCCAAACCTCTGAAAAGTTTTGATTTGAATCATGGACAAAATTTCAGGCAGCGGAGGGACGGCTGTGTTTTATCTCAACATTTCTTACTAAGGAGTGTGTGCTTCCCCCTGAAAGAGGCATGATCTCCATCCCAGCTCTGACACAGACCTCTTCATGGTTCTTGGGAGAATTTTGCAGCTGGTCTGTGCCTCGGTTTCCCCAGCTGTAAAATGGGGTTAAGATTACTAACTGCTTCACAGAGGGGCTTGGGAGAGTGAGTTAGATGATGCTTGGAAATGCCTCAGATCGTTTACCTTGTCTGCTCTACCAAGCAGCAAAGCCAACGGCATCTAGGCACCAGATACTCATTTAAGATATTTTCTGTACAGGATACCCCAGGGGCGGGCAATTATTTTGGGTGGAGGGCCGCTTACTGAGTTTTGGCAAGCCATCGAGGGCCATGTGACAGCCAGCCCAGGGCAGATAAATATTAATTTTCTAAATTCTTTAGGGGCCTCGCGGGCTGGATAGAATGGCCTGGCAGGCCGCATCTGGCCCCCAGGATGCATTTTGCCCATCCTGTGATACCCCTATCTCTTGCATTGGTTAGCTTTTTAGTGGAGTTTTTTTTTCGCCCTCCCCCTCATGCTCCCCTTCTCCCCTTGCAGTTTTCTCCTCTTCCTTCCTCTTCCGTCAGGTGAGTGGTCCAGTCTTTGCAGTAGCATGCATCATTCCTTGTGCCCTCAATACAATTGATGCACAAAAGCTAAAAGCCAGATACTAAACTGGTGTAAATCAGCCAGATGCAGCTGAAGTCAATAGCTCTTGGCTGAGTAATGCCAGCTGAGAGGCTGGGGGCCATCCTTTTGGGCAGGCATGCCACAAATCAGCCCTGCACCCTCCCAAGGTGCCACTCTGATTCTTTTCCCCTTCCCAGTCCTTTGCCCTGTTTTCTGCTCTCAGCCCTGTGCTCCCTGCCTGATCTGCTGCTCTGCTTTCTTCTTCCTTCCCTGTGCTCCCTGCCTAATTTGCTGCTTTGCTTTCTGCTCCTGCCCTATCTGCTGCTGTGCTGCCAGTCCCCTTTCCGACCTGCCGTATGCCACGTACAGAACCTGCCATGCCACTTCTGGCACCCATGACGCAGGTGGCAGACCATTTTATTGTGTAAGGTACAGGGGCTTTGAACTGGCTTTTTTAAAATAAACTTCAGGGAACTAAAAATTCCTCTCCCTGTGCCAGTATACAAAGCATGCCTGTGCTTTCCCTGGCTAATACCATTCTCACCGTTACTCAGACACTCACATAAACAGAGACCACCTTACTATATAACCTCGATTTCAAGAACAATAAACGGAGCTGTCCCAGGATGAGCACTGATGCCTAATTTCAGCTCTATTATAATCATTATCTTTGCTAATAATTCCTTATTATAAACAGGGGCCAGCTAAAAGTTTCCAGCTTGGAGCTAAGGTTCCAAAAAATCTTCCTGCCGAGTTTCGGTGGAGACGCCGCTGTTGAGTCTAAGGCTAAGGCTGCCCCGTGGTGCTCGCTGGCTCCTCCAGCTCCTACCATGCTGAGTGCCTGGACAAAAGATGGCATGATTTCTGGTATCCAGTGCCAGGCAAAAGGCGATTGGCATCGCTTTCTGGGCTCTCTCAAGCCAAC